GTCACCTATGATGCCTATTTGTTCTACGCGACCCCTCACGGTAGCGTTGGTGGCTGAAAATAGGCCTTTTCTCCCTCTCTGTTTATTTTGTCTCTGCTATTATCTTTTGAAACTTGAGGCAGACAGCTGGTGTGTCTATTACTTCCCCGTTACTGCTAAAACAACTATCACAGACTTAGTGGGGTAAAACGACACAGATGTACTCTTCTGTTTTGAGGTCAGTCCTCTGACACCAGAGTCACTGGCGTAAGTCAAGGCAGCCGGTGCCCTCTGGGCGCTACAGGAGACTTCCGTTATCGTCCCCCTTTTCAGAGAGGACGGGAATTCTGTGGCTTCGAGCCTCTTCTAGGCTCTCACCTCTTGGTTCTGTCTTACATCTCCCTCCTCTCTCTGGTCCCCTTTCCTCCCTTTTCCACGAGAACGCTTGTGATCACATGGGCCCATTCAGTGAACCCGGAATGATCTCCCAGCCCAGTGCCCTTAATCTCATCACACCTGCAAAGTCCTTTTCACTGTGTCAGGCAACATGGTCACAGGGTTGAGGTGTCAGGATACAGACAACTTGGGGCTCACTATTCCTCCTGCCAAACCAGCCGGCGGGCCAGAGGCCTCCGGAGGGCCGCTGGGGACATGGCCATCGCCCGGGATCCAGTGCCTCCTTGCCAGCGTCTCGGAGCGGGCCAGGGCTGAGCGCTTGGCTCCAGGCCGTCAAGGCCCAGACACTGTTAGCTACTCTAGAACGTTAACGTACTCATTTTTCATCCAACACTCCTTTCTGGCGGGGTCTGCTCGGCAACTGAATACCTGTGGGTCAAACCAGAAGAGTGAAGCGTCGTAGATGTTCCCCAGGGGCGTTTTACCCAGCTACGGACACAGGCAGTGGACGGTGCTGGCGACTGAGCCGGGCTTGCACTTTGCCCCAAGCAGAGTGGACATGTGACGCATCACCAGCTTCCTCGCCCTCGTCCCAGTGAGCCAAGAGTCATACTTGCCCTACCTCCTCACACTACACTGTCAGTTCGTCACTAAATGCCGTTGCTTCTTGCTCCAAGCATGCTCCACAGCCAACGACATTTTGGAGTCCCACTGCCACTCCCCACCCCATGAAGCCATTTCACCTGGACCTCCTCATGGGCCACTTTTTATTTTTAAAATTATTTATTTGTACATACAGAACTGGGGTACAGGGCAGAGGTGCAGGGGCGGTGAGAGGATTCCCCAGAGACAGGGTGGGGAGCAGAACAGGCCGACGGACGAAGCACGCTGCTGAGGGGAGCAGCGGGCGGGTCAGGAGGGGTCTGCGGTGCCCTGTGGGTCGCTCCCTGGCCGGGGATCGAACTCAAGCTGCAGGGGCTGCGGTAGCTTCCCAGGGCTGTGCTCTAAGAGTTGCACCACCACGGAGGCCTTGACATGTTAAAATTTGTAAACTTCCTGCATGGAGTTTCCCACTCGGACTCCACAGTTTACATCAGAACTCTAAGAGCAAATGAACGGCGTGGAGGTGGAGACGCCAGAGGATGCCGGTGTGGCTGACGTCTCCCGGACGTGTCTGGGCCATCTGCTGAGAAGCAGATTCTCGGGCATACCTGCGCCCACTAGGTCGGGGCTTCTGAGGGTGCGGTCCAGGCCTCTGCTCCTCTGGCCGTGACATTCCGTTCTGCAGGGCCGCAGGGAGGGAGGCAGCACAGCTGGCTTCCTGTGCCTCCCACACAGTCTCCACTTTTTTAGGAACTGCCCCAGGGGAAGGCCACGGGATGAGCTCACTGGGCTTCGGACCTTGCCATTTTCTTTTATTTAAAAAATTTATTTTGGGCCCTCCCTGGTGGCTCAACGGGTGAGGCCGCAGCTCTGCAAGCTGGCCTCAGCCGCTTCAACACGAGTTCCATCCCCGCCCAGGAGGTGACCCCCAGGGCGCGCAGACCCCTCCAGACCCGCCCGCTGCTCCCCTCAGCAGTGTGCTTCGTCCATCTGCCTGTCCTGCTCCCCGCTCTGTCTCTGGTGAAGCCTCTCACCACCCCTGCACCTCTGGCTTTACCCCAGCTCTGTATGCATGAATAAATACATTTAAAAAAGATTTTTTTATTCCGTTTGAGAACTCAGGCAGTGAGGAGGATACAAGCATTCACTCCCCTCCGGTGGCTCCCTTTGGGACTGCAGTCATCTGTACGAGCTGGAGCTGACCGGTCTCATCCTGGTCTCACAGCCCGGGACCCCTGAGGGGTCAAGGCCAAGGACTGGAGAGAAGAGAGTATTTCCTTCGCTGACTCGGCGGGCTTCAGTCCTGAAGACCCAAGGCCAGCCCAGAGCGCCCGAACATAGAGCCCAGGGGCCCAGTCCACTCAGAAAGAGGACGCCTGCCTCCCCGCTCCCCGGAGAGCCAGAGAGCCTCCAGACAAGGGAGCCCTATGCCCTCTGGTGGAGAGAAGCGGCTTCCGGCCCTGCTCCAGGGCTAGCCCGGGCCCCACCCACGGCCAGGTGGTCACCAACGGGGTGAGGCCCTGGACACAAGACCCCCACCCCACCCCGTGAGACTCCTGACCGGAGGCAGCCAGAGGGGAAATGGTGCCACTTGGGGTGCTCTATGCACATGTCCGCGGGGTTCTGGAAGACACCGCTGTGGTGTTTCTATCACGAGGCGTCTCTGATCACTGGGTTTTACCCTCTTTTCCTTAGTTTTCTGTGAGCCTGAGGCTCCAATGCTGAATTCAGGGTGGCTGGCTGGCTAAGTTTCCACGCGAATGTATCATTTTGATGATGGCGGCTCTCCCGCCAGTCAGACAGCACTTAGCCCCGCCAGCCTCTTACATTTTCGTTATTCTGGAGTGAGAAATAGTATCTCACTGCCACACCAGCTCATGTCCAGTTTACATTTCCCTGGCGACCATGTTAAGCTCACTTTTTAGGTCACTCAGCTATCTTCTTTTGTCAGGTTTCAGTTCAAGCGTTTGGCCCACTTTTAATTAGGCAGTTTGTCTCTGTTATTTATGTGTAGGAATTCTTCATCTTTTCTTTTATAAATCCTCTAAATATTGAGAATATTTTCCAACAATCAGATTTGTCTTTTATTTCATTAAGTGTCGTTTTCTTAAAGATTTCTTTATTTATGCACACAAGAACTGGGGTACACTCCGGAGGGGGTGGGGAGTGAGAGGATCCCCAGGGACAGAGTGGGGAGCAGAACAGGCAGACTGATGAAGTCCACTGCTGAGGGGAGCCGTGGGGAGACAGGAGAGGTCTGCTGCGCCCTGTGGTCACTCTGGCCGGGGGTCGAGCATGTGCTGCAGTGGGTTGAGCCTTTAGACAAGGTCAGGATGGGATGAATGTATTTTGCATGTGGGTCATGAACTTTGAGGGTCAAGGTTGGACTATGGTAGACTGAATAGTAGCCCCCAAAGATATCCAGGACCTGATCCCTAGAGCGTGCAAATATTAGTCACACAAGACTTCCCCCATGACCAAGCCCCCACTTCAGAAGCCAAATCACAGGTTGTTACCTGTGATTTCCTGACTGAACAGCAATAAACTCAAGATTCCCACAATCGCCTCTTCAGATTCCATTGATTTACTGGAGCAGCCCAGGATTTAGTGCCAGGACTCAGGAAAAACAACTTACTTACTAGTTAATTACAAAAGAATATAATAAATGACTGAACAGAAGTTTACAAACCAGAAAATAGGATCAACATGTCAGAACACAAAGGAAATCATCCTGGATCCCTCTGAGTATTTTTCTGGCTGGCAAATAATCAAATAAACATCAGTCAGATTGCATCAGAGAAAAATGCCAGAAAGAAGTTTAATAATAATGTGTTTGCTTTCTGCAGAGAAAGGGGAGACCCAGCAGGACTGAGCAACTTGTCACATGACTTCAGATGCCACCTTAGTAGCTTAAATAGCTTGGGTAAGAGATGTCCCTATAGAGAGTTTACGTATAAATGTCGTTTCCAAAAGCAGCCCATTCTTCAGAGACTTTCCTATCAAATCAACCTTTTCCAAAGACATATTTTGGGGTGACAGGTTTTTGCTCCCCTACAGGTAAACATTTGCTCCCCTAAAGGTAAAGATAGGGGCCTCCCTAATGTCGCAAGGGGTTGAGTCTTAGTACTAAGGGGCTGCCCCAGCCTCTGCGGTGGGAGTTCGGTCCCCGGCCAGGGAGGGACCCCAGGGTGCAGCAGACCCCTCCTGCCTCCCCGCTGCTCCCCTCAGCAGTGTAGTTCAGTAGATCTGCCTTCCCACTCTGTCTCTGGGGTCCTCTCACCTCTCTGCACCTCTGGCCTGTACCCCAGTTCTTGTTTGCATAAATAAATAAATCTTTAAAAAAAAAAGAAAATTGGAATGAAAGTGGCGAGGCCCCAAACGAAGACTTAAGCTGTTGTCCAAGAGTGATCTGCAGAGCCTTGGGGCATGTGTGGGCAAAGAAGCTTTTCTAGTAACACTGAGACTTGGGTCTCACTCTTTTCTCTCTGTTGCTCTGCACACTGAGAGTGAAGCAACGGCCGGCCACTCCCAGGCGCTTAGCGTGAAGGAGCCAGCAGCTCAGACGGCTCTGGGAGTTGCTGTTCTCCACTGGCAGGAACTGACCACTCTGAACATGCCAGTTTCCTTGAGAACGCCCTTAGCGGTGTGAAATAAGTCAATTTTATGTCACTTCTAGCCTGCTGCTATATACACTTTAATGTTCTGTGTGATGAGAGCACGTCGGCATCAAGGACTCTCTGCTACTCTCTGAAGTATCTTGCTTGTCTTTAGAAGAAGCACTTGCAAGATTTTGTGACTTGGGAAGCGTTAGTTGCATGAGTAGTTTTTCTTACAAAACACTAATTCTGCTTAAAGTACGATGGACACCCTGGAGGCCTTCTGACTTTTGTACTTAGCAGACATTTTCTGGGAGGTGAGCAAAGTGACCTAATCCTTCCCAGGGACACATGCCATTACCCAGGTCACACGGCTGATAAGGGGAAAGGTAGGTCTCACCCAGGCACCTCTGCTCTAAAGCTCACGTGCATCCCACCAGCTGGCACGGCGTCCTCGGCCGGCCGCGTCTAGTTCCCGAAGCCTGTGGAAGAGCAAACGCAAAATCCTGAACAGCCCAATCCGAAGCAGAGCCTGCCCTTCCCAAGCTGAAGTCCAGTTCCGGAAGACGCTTACTCATTCCTCAGCACCCAGCGTGTGAAAAGCAGCTGAGAGTGATGACCTCCAAGGACAATAACGAGGGGCCACCACTCAGCCACAACCAGTCTGCTCCCTGACACGGGAACTTCCACGTGGCCGAGGGGCTGCTGCTTCAGGGCACACAGCTGGAGTTCCACGTTTGGTTCTGCCAAATACCCCATTCCAGCCAGCCTGGCCAGTTTGACCCACCTGCCCGGGTGTCAAAAATGAGGCAAACAGGCCCTCACTGGTGGCGCAGCGGGTTGAAGCACAGCACTGAGAAGCTAAAGCCACTTCCCCACGAGTTCCATCTCCGCCTGCCCCGGAGGAGATCCACAGGGCGCGGCAGACCTCTCCTGACCTTCGTTATTCTGCTTGTTCTGCTCCCCGCTTTGTCTCTGGTGAAGCATCTCTGGCCTGTACCCCAGTTCTGTATGAATAAATAAATAAATCTTTAAAAAATAATAAATGAGGCAGCCGGCCCGGTGCCTGAGTGTCTGACCCCAACTTCACAGCAGCTTTGCTGTAATACTGAAATCTCTGTGTTGGGCAGAGTTGAGCCACCATTTTCTTCATCTCCACAGGCAACGTATGTGAAGTGCCACCCTGCCCACACTTGTCTAGGCGGCTGGAAGGTAACAGCAACACCCGGCACCCAGGATCCAGTGGCCAAGAGCTTTGTCTCCTTTCTGTCCCTTCGCTCCTCAGGGGCCCTCCCCATCAGGGCACCCCGGGTACTATGAGAAAGAATCCACATTCTTCTCCTATTTTGCAGACACCTGTTTCTCGGACAGGTAGGCACCTCCAAGCCAGGAAGCTCTGGGGTTGGTGACCGGAGTGAGGAAGTAAGGATGAGGTTCTGCCAGTAAATGCCAGGCCAAGGGATGGAAGAAGAGGCAGACACACACAGCTTAGTGTCGCCAATTGAGCACAGGGTGTATGGAGCAAGGCTGGAGAGGTTTGTGTATTCAACTTTGATTTAGCTGCTTGTGAGGGAGGCAAAAATAATCGCCTACACAAGATAGAAGTTGTTTTCTCCCTGCGACCAAGAGACGAGCTCTTCCAAGCTGGTGGTGCCACAGTCAGTGAAGACAGAGATCTCCCATTTTGCTGCTTCACTTCTTCAGGATCTTCATGGTCCAAAATGGCTGCTCGAGCGCCAGCTATCACCGCATATTCTACATGAGGAGAAGAGGGAGAAGTTGGGCAGGCTCCCTTCTCCGGCCATCCTGCTGGCCAGGGATGTACGTAGTTTGAGCTAAAGCGGGCTGTGGGTTTCTGGAGTATCCGCAGGCAACAGCCCAGGAGGCTGGGTCACTGGGGAGAGGACTCGGTGTTGAATTTCAGCAGCAAAGGTGGCGGCTCTGGGCATGACAGGTTTCCTCAGGGAGCGTGAGGACAGGAGCCCACCGAGACCTGGAAACAATGATGAAGGAGGGAAACAGGAAGAGTCCATCATCAAGGAAAACTAACTGAAAATCAATAGTGCCCTGTGCTGGAAGTGAGGTTTGTCACAGCAAAGGGTAGGCAAAGAACGCAAGAATCTGTCTCTACACTGAAGCAGCCATTAAGTTGGCAAAACTGACAGAATCAGCTTTATTTGTGACTCTGGAACCTAATGGAAAAACAAACAAAAACCCCTAGCACAACCAGGGGGATAATCCACAAAGAAAGAGGTTACTAAATTTAGGGTAAGTGCAGTGCTCATTGTGGGTAAGTGCATTGCTTATTGTACCCCCATTTCCCATTCCCCAGTCCTGGAGACAGATCCTGAAATCCTAATGACTTACTGGTGCCTGGGTGGGCAACAGGAAGTTTGTTCTGAAAAAAACTGTGGTTGTTTTGACCTGCCTGCCAGTCTCTGAGGCTTGGGTACAGCGAGAGGTCTTTGCTGCAGCCCCGTCCCGCGGGCTGACAAGCAACTGCCAGCTGGCACCTAAAAGCTTGTATTATGGCCCTCGCTGGGGGCGCAGCGAGTTAGGACGCAGTGCTGCAAGCTGGACGCAGCTTCTGCAGTGCGAGCTCAATCCCCGCCCCGGAGGTGACCCACAGGGCGTGGCAGACCCCTCCTGTCTCTCCGCTGCTCCCTCAGCAGTGTACTTCATCCATCTGCCTGTTCTGCTCCCCACTCTGTCTCTGGAGAATCCTCTCACCGCCCCTGCACCTCTGGCCTGGACCCCAGTTCTGTGTGCAGAAATAAAATCTTGACAAAAAAATAACTTGTATTATGTATATATGGGGGGCAAAGGCAGACAGACCAAAAGGACCGGAAAGGAGGAGGATACAGAGGAAGCAACTAGGGGAATAGGGCGTTTCAGGACGACTTTGTGGCCCTGGGAAAATCAGACCTCAGGGAGCCCAGACGACAATGTTCCTAGCAACACCCCGCCAACTGACAAAAGCAGAAACAACCCAGAGGTCCACCCATGGATGAAGGGATACAGAGTGTGGTATAGCACGCTGTGGAATACTATGCACCCAGAAAGAAGGAACGCAGCACTACAGTGTGGACGGACCTTGCAAACCTTGTACTAAGTGAAAGACGCCAGACACAAAAGATTACGCGCCATGATGCCGCTTACAACAGACGGCCGGCATAGGGGAAAGTGTGGGTACACACTCGGAGACAGGAGATAGGTGATGGGAGTAAGGGATGAACGGGAGCTTTTTTAAAAATAATAGTTTATTTTTACATATTTTTGTGCATTTTTCCATCTCAGTTGCAATCCCCTTGGGCTTCCCATCACCAAATCACCCATGTGCCGTCACCATAGTGAACAGGAACTTTTAATGGGTAGGAGATATTTTTGGAGTGATGGATATTTTGTAACTAGACATAGGTGGTGGAGGCATCTACTGTACATGGACGAAAGCCCCTGGATCTGATCCCTCAAAACTTCATCTGAAATTTTCCTCACTGCAGTTACTCAAGTAACTCCAAGTCACTGACAATTTCAAGTGACCCCACATCCCGAAAATTTCCCTGAGCCACTCCGAAGACCAGGGCTGGCCATGTCTCCTATTTAACTTTACCTGGGACTGACTCCCAGCAAACCCTTTGTTGGGGGGCGGAGGGGAGCCTAAAACTGCAGATACTACCAGGAAGCAAATGCTCTTTCGCCCCGCGGTGCTGCCCTTGTGAGGTTATCGCCCAGCCCTATGCCAGGGCAGTTCTCGCGGGGGACGGAGGGCTGGGGGCAGGCCCGGCCCGGTGCGTGGGCCACCCCTCGGGGACGCCGGCTGGGCGTGGGGTCAGCTCCTGCTCCCCGG